TCAATTCAAAATTAATCAATACAGAGATCTAAATCTAGATTATGAATTTCATTAAAACAAGAACTGCAATTGCAAACTGAAGGTTCCAACAAAATTCAAGAACGGTAATCAAATTGAATTAGGTTTATTTAGGTTATTTCAAATATGAAATTGCATCTTCTCATTTTTGTTTATGATTCAAAACAAAAGTTCAATATCATGAAAAATGGAATTATCATAAACAGAAAGGAGAAGAGGAAGAGAGATGAGGAAAACTTTCTTCAAGAAAGATTCCTCTACTTCTACACCTTATCATAAAAAAGACCATAGAGAGGAGAAGTACTCTTCCAATAGTCACTCCAAGAGTGAACCATCCGAGGAAAAACATGAAAATTGCAAACCTCACCACGAAAAATAAAACTCCAACACTAGTTATTAGACTAGTAACATTAAATGCTTTAAATGTTTATGTCATTCTAGTGCTAACAATGACACTTTTAGTTATTAACAAAGCTAAAAGATAGGTAACACACCCTTTAAGCTTTAGTTATTTTCATAACATTTTCACCAATTTTCTTTTGCTCCAAACAAACCATATAAAGATAGTCACTTTTCATTACATTTTGTAAATCCAATAAATGTTGGTAGTGTCAAATAAAACCTTCTACAAGCTTCTTAAGAACATGATTATTTTCAAATGATATGAAAGACACGACAAAAATGGGATACATAAAAGTTTTGGCTTACATTGTCACTACTATAATTCTCTTATTACATGCAATTTTTCCTGCGAATTTTTATGAAAATTCGCAGGAAACGTTGTTCTTGCAAAATTTTATTTGCAGGAAAGTTTTCTGCAAAAAAAAAATTTACAGGAAAGTTTCCTGCAAAAAATATTTGCAGATTTTTTGCAGGAAACTTTCCTGCGAATTTTTTTGCAAGAAATTTTGCAGGAATATTTTTTTACGAAAAAAATAAAGAAATTACTATAAATTCTATCAATAATTTTTTAACTTTCAAATGCTCACAATGAATTCATCCGAAGCAATTGTTTCCATGCCTCCAACATGTGATACATAAGCTTTTAAATTCTAAGATGATAGATTATAAGTCCAACACTCAACCATATAAATTAATTTGTAAGGTAAGTGTTGCCCCCAACTTTTACCTGCAAATTATTTCTACCATTTAGTAAACATTACTTGCAAATTTATTTTTGCAAGAAAATATGCAAGAAACAAAATAAAATTCTTACAATATTTTCTGCAAATTTTGACCATGGAAAAAATTTCTATGATTATTAAAATTGTAGCAAAATTTGTAAGAAATATATGTAAATTATTTTTCATAAATAAATTCGCAAAAAAATTTTGCAAATATTTTTTTGCAGGAAAATTCACAAAAAATTTTGCGAATATTTTTTTGCAAAAAAATTCGCAAAAAATTTTTACGAATATTTTTTTGCAGGAAAATTTGCAAGAAAATAACACTTTTCTAGTAGTGTGTTAAGCAAAATCCTTAATAGGAGTAAACAAAATGAAAAACTAAAAATTCATGGCATGGAATTTTTTGGCATGCAAATCTAGACTGATCACTCTTATTTGTTTATCTCGTGTCACTTCCCAAAATTTGATCTCACAAAATGCAAGACACTTGGCATATGATTGCTCAATAGCATTCATAATTTTAATTATTACTCAACAATTATTGTTAGATATTACTATCATCCAATCTAAAGTATCTCTTATGCAACTTAAGCTTTTCACAAGGAGTAAAAATCCTTAGTAATGATCTTTGACATTTGACTATATTTTCTTTATCTTTTACGATAAATAATCATAACATAAAACAATGTTGTTACGGCAAAACAACGACATTTTAAAATAACAGTCAATTGTTAAAAAAAATAATGTTAAATTCTAATAAAATATTCTTAAGAAATCAATCAAGAAAAGACAAACCTAATGCCTCAAATACTACAATAAACAATATATGTTTATTTGGTCCTAAGGCTTAAATATGTGAAATAACTTGCAAGACATTGGAATCACATGAGAAGTTCTTGCTATTTTGTAGAAGATGGTGGGGTTCGTGTGAATATCAAATTTAAAACATTGTTTGTCTTTCATTAGTGTTAGGATTGGAATAATATGCTTTGCCATTATTTTCTTGCGGAATGTAGTGCGATAGGGGTACTCGAACACCACAATCCAATAAAACCACATACATTAAATAAGAAAAAAAAAAAGTAAGTTCATAACTTGAATAAGAGAAGCAAACCAAGTTCCTACCTTGGGATAGTGTGACCCTTTCCTCTAATTGCAATTCTTTCTTTGCCGTTGTTTATCCTGTTGGAGACGAGAAAAACGCAAACACTCATGAAAACTTGAGAAGAATGAGAAAGAGAAATTTTTAAGTTACCTATAGCTAACAAAGTTGTTGCATCAACTAATAGAGTTATTGTATTAACTAATCACTTAACATTGTTAACCACTTACTCTAACAAAGTTAACCTAGTTTAAATTACTTTATAACATATCCTTCCGTGCCCATCCTTCTATTTCGCAAGTAGTGCCATTCTCTTCTCTCTCATCTATCTATTTTTCCTCTCTTCCCGCATCACCCATATCCCCTTTCCAAGAACCATGCACAAAAATTCAATAAAACCACAACATTGATTAAGAAAAGGAAAAGAAACAAGTTTATACCATAAGCAAGATTCTTTGAAGTAGAAACCACAACATTCTTTATTCCTTGCACAACAATCGTCGTTAAAATTCAACTTCACAAATAGGGTTCACGACAAACATCAACTCATGTGTGCAATCTTTGAAGTAGTCTCGAGAGAATTTGAGCTTCTTGCCACCTTTTGAGTTTGATTCCACATTCGTCTTTTTCAATGAAATTTGAGTTTTTATTTTATAATTTATTTTTAATAAAATTCCACTTCACTTCACTTTAATGAATCAAAATAGTCAAATATTTTTTTTTGGGTTTAATTGAGGTGTTTTAATAATATTTTTTTTAAAAAAAAAATTACAAAAGTATCAACTGGGTAGATTTATTTACCAATATAGAACTGTTTACTGTTCATTCAAAATCTTATTTTTTTTTGTTTTTTCAACTCAGAATTCGGTTCCCGGAGAACCGAATTCTGAGTTATTTAATTTTTTTTTTCGTGTTTCTGGCCCATTTTAGGCAAATGTTGGAAGTGGAATGGCCTGTTCCGGAAGCAGAACGGACCGTTCTGCTTAAAGATACAGAGTCCTTTTTTTAAAATTAAAACGGGCCCTGAACGGCCCGTTCCAGAATAAATTTTTTTAACATTTTTTGAATCTGAAACGGCCCTGGAACGGCCCGTTCTGGAAGATGTTTTCAGGAAGTAGAACGTGGTTTGGAACGCACCGTTCTGGTTTTGGAACGGCCCGTCCTGGGCAAACAGTAAAAAAAAAGATTAAATTTTTTATTTTTTTTTAAAAAGAAGATAATAAAGTTAAAATAATGGGATATTAAGCAATAAATAGGGAATATATTCTCTCCGACAATATAATTATCGGATAAAATTTTAACTATTCAATCAATTTTATTAAAATAATATATTTAGACAATCACTTAAGATAATATCTGATAATTACTCTTATTTCTTCCTTTTCAAATCTTTTAGTGTTTTAGTCTTTAATTTTTATTCCAAAGTAATTAATGTTTTATAAATTTCAAATCTCAATAATTTCAAGTTGCAATAATTATATTGTCGGAGAGAATATATTCCCTATAATTCAGGGATAAGTGTACGTTTTAAGCATAAGATATTATCTTAAGTGATTGTCTAAATATATTATTTTAATAAAATTGATTGAATAGTTAAAATTTTATCTGATAATTATATTGTCGGAGAGAATATATTCCCTATAATTCAGGGATAATTGTACGTTTTAAGCGCAAGATATTATCTTAAGTGATTATTTAAATATATTATTTTAATAAAATTGATTGAATAGTTAAAATTTTATCCAATAATTATATTGTCGGAGATAATATATTCCCTATTTATTGCTTAATATCCCATTATTTTAACTTTATTATCTTCTTTTTTAAAAAAAAAAAAATAATAAATTTAATCTTTTTTTATGTTTGCCCAGAACGGGCCGTTCCAAAACCAGAACGGCCCGTTCCAAACCACGTTCTACTTCCTGAAAACGTCTTCCAAAACGATCCGTTCCAGGGCCGTTTCAGATTCAAAAAAATGTTAAAATTTTTGTTCTGGAACGGACCGTTCTGGGCCCGTTTTAATTTAAAAAAAAGGACTCTGTATCTTTAAGCAGAACGACCCGTTCTGCTTCCGGAACGGGCCGTTCCACTTCCAACATTTGCCCAAAATGGGCCAGAAACACGAAAAAAAAAATTTAAATAACTCAGAATTCGGTTCCCCGGGAATCGAATTCTGAGTTGAAAAAACAAAAAAAATAAGATTTTGAAGCTTAGAATTCGGTTTCCCGGGAACCGAATTCTGAGCATGAACAGTAAACAGTTCTATATTGGTAAATAAACTTGCACAGTTGATACTTTTGTAATTTTTTTAAAAAAAAAATATTATTTAAGTAAAAATTTGGTGTTTTTGTCCAAAAATAAAAAAGTTTTTGGTAAGAAAATGTCCAGAAATGGAAGTAAACTTATTTATATTTAGATTTCAGTGTTCGAAAAGAATGTTGAGTTTTAATATAAAGTATCAACAAATGACGTCAGCAGCGGTGTCAACGAAATCGTAACATTACCATTACGCAAAGCAGGTTTTGTTTTTAATTTATCTGCCCGCCACGTTTGTAACGGAAAAGAAAAGAAAAGTAAAGAAAACGTATTAGCAACAAAGAAATTAGTGCAATTGGCTAATGTAAATTGTCACGTGTTGTAAGTTGTAAAGATGACATATGTTTATATTAATTAAAAATTAATGAATTATATTGTAATGAGAAAAAAAAAAGATATTCATTTTTCTTTCCATATATATTATATTCTGGTTCATATTCCATTTAATGGCACTAGGGTTTTGAATTAAGTCTTGTCCCTTTTCTTTTGTTTTGTCATCATTCTCCATTCTCCAACCAGCAATCACCAATTACACACCTCTACATTTTAATCCTAATTTTGCAGATCACTTTTTTGTTTTTTTCATGACGATGATTTGCTATGATGTCAAGTTTGTTTGGGGGATATCATTTGAATTGAATAATTATTAATTACCCATTCCCATGATTTTTATCCAATAGTTGTGAATATGTGCATCATTCTCTCTCTATGTTGATTTCGGCCTCAATTCTATGTTATGGAGTTGTAACTTCTGCAAAATTCGATTTGGGGCCTCTGGATGGTTGACAGGGATTTTGTAACACAACATGGCCCCTAATCTTAAGCCCAACTTGTGTGTTCCATTCTTCTTGTTACTGCTAGTGCTTCTTTCCTTGGGTAGTTCCAGCGCAGAATTTGAGCAGAAACTCAGAGCTTCTCCACATAAAAATGTCATTGATGGCACTGGGGAGGAGAGTTCCTTCAAGTTTGAGGAAACGAATAATAGCAGAAAGGGTGGAAGCAGTAGAGTTTCGGTTTCCACAGTTGCATTGTTTACATTTGCAATGGCAGCTGCAACTGGTTTAGGTGCTGTGCCCTTCTTCTTTGTGGAGCTTGATCCGCAATGGGCAGGGTTGTGCAATGGGATGGCAGCTGGTGTCATGTTGGCTGCAAGCTTTGATCTCATACAGGAAGGTCAGGATTATGGCGCTGGAAATTGGGTTGTCGTTGGGATTCTTGCTGGTGGCGTCTTTATTTGGTTATGTAAGAAGGTACCACTATCTCTCTTCACTTCTGCTTCTACATTTGTCTTTTTCTTCATCCTTTCTCATGATGAATTTGTAAACCATTTTGATTTTCATTACCTTTCTTTCTCACTAGTTTATGCCATATACTTTTAAGTGTAGGACGAGTTGGCTTCAAATGTACCACTGCTAAAAGATAATCAAATAGTTAAATAAACTCTTTGATTGTATTGTATGGATTATATTCTACGCTTGTGCATCCTGTACTGTTTTCTTAGAATAAGATAGGCCCCCTGTAAAATTTTCTTAATTTTTGGAATTTCAAATCTGATCAGAAGCCATCATTAGAAATTGTAAGTGATCCTTGCACTAGAAGGATTTTAACAATTTCTATAAAATGATAATTTCTTGTTATTATATTATGCAGTTTTCAAATTTGAAGTAGGTTTATCATGGTCTTGTTTTTGTCATACTCTTAGATAACCTGTTTGGTTTCAGTTTCTTGAGCAATATGGGGAAGTAAGCATGTTGGATATAAAGGGTGCTGATGCAACCAAAGTTGTTCTTGTAATTGGAATAATGACTCTCCATTCTTTTGGGGAGGGATCTGGGGTTGGGGTCTCTTTTGCTGGCTCAAAGGGATTCTCTCAAGGCCTACTGGTAACTTTGGCTATTGCGGTACACAACATTCCAGAGGGATTGGCTGTGAGCATGATGCTGGCATCGAGGGGTGTCTCTCCACAGAATTCTATGTTATGGAGCATTATTACATCTTTACCCCAGGTAAATATTTATTTGAAAGTTAAATTGTCATTAGATTGTGAAGGAGAAAATATTATTAACCCGGTCATAGCATTGAAATGAACTTTGAAGTGTTTCTATTCTAGAATTAATAGTAAATAGTTTGTCCCATCAGCCTGTTGTGAAAAGTCTGTAAGTTTGTCATTTGTAATTGAGATATAGCATGTTAATATTGTGCATAAGAGCATGCTAGTTGAATGGGGATACAATTTGTGTCTTGGAAAGCCTATTTTCTGAATCATGTATCGAATTGTATTGTAAATGGTAAGATTCATGATCAATAAAATTACACACATATATACACACCCGCCCAAGACATATAAAAGCACTTTAGGCCAAATTGAATGAATGAGTGACAAATTGACTTATGGCATACTTAAATAGAATAGGCTAGAAGTGTTCCTTCATTTCCTTTTCAGTTAACAATTTAATCTTATATGACTTTTCCATTTTTCATGAGAATTGGTGAAAGAAAGGTAAAAAGCAAAAAAGGTAATGAATCGTTGAATTGTAAAATTCGTATCGATGATACGAAATTACATAAATTCATTCATGTATCTTAAGATATAAAATCATCTTAGATTCACATTAAGATATGAATTAGTAGGTTGTCAAATTGTATCAAATCGTAAAATTGTGATAACTATGCATAAGAGTATGTTTGGGTGGGGCTTGGTTATCGTATGAACAGTATTTGGGTAGGCTTTAGTCTGATTCGAGGTTTAATATCTTAAGAGTTTGGCCATTTCGATCTATAGTTTATTTACTTTCTAGTAAATCATTCCTTTTGTATTTTGATATATAACACTAAACTTGTAGTTGAGCGCTTTGATGTTGGTTAGCTTTATCTAAAAATACTAATATGTTCTTGTGTTATATCACTGATGTCAAAGATTTGCTAGGGATAGCTTGAATTTATCAAATGTTATTGTCTGAAATGGAATTGCATCTCTTGTAAAATTGCTTGTGCCTTGCAGCCAAGGAGCATGGCAAGTGACTTTATGCCTTAGGCCATCTGTAGTTTTAGTTTAGTTCATTAGTATTATTGTGGAAGAACGTATGTAAAGGATTTTGATGATGCCAAAGAAGTTAAAGAAAACAAGAGGTCAAGTAAAAGCAAGGTGACCAAGAAACAAAAATCTCAAAATGTTTTAGATAAGTCTTGTAAAAATAGATTAATATGTAAAAAGAAATCTTTAGAAAATATTGCATAAAATTCTTGGCCATTTAAAATAAAGAATTTCAAAGAAAACCCAAATATAATTTTTTAAATAAGTTTTTGAAAATAGAAGTTTTTCAAATCCTCAGTTTTAACAATCTACCAGAGAATGGATACTCATATGTTCAGATTTGAAACGAACTCTGGTAATCGATTACCCATTCCCTGTATAAAAAAATGTTTAACTAATTTATGTTGTAGACTAGTTTTAGGTATTTTATTTATAGAAGGTTCATTTGTAATATTAGATGACTCATAGTATAAACCAGTCTTCGTAAATGTTTATTATATTGTGTGGGGAAAAAAGTTGACTCATTTGATTGAATTTTCACTTTTAACAATCTTACAACTTAGATTCAAATCTAAAAGTTCTTTGTTTTTATAGAAATGTTTGTTGAAATATAATTTTAAATAATTTGTTGATTAATCACATAACATGACTGTCTATAATACATGCTGAAGATATGCAGAAGAATATCATTAATAACACAATTAATTGGGAGATAAAATTTATACCCTAATTACATTGGTTAGACATTTTTTTTTTCTACTTTTCTTTCTCTTATTGGTACACTCTACATATATAAAGACATGCATTTGTAAACACAATAAAGTAAATAACACTGTTCTTTTAAATAGATGTATATGGAGAATTTCACAGACTTAATTTTATCTGTCTTCATCTTTGCTCCATTCAAAGTATGCATAATTTGAGATTTGTTTTATTTCAAGATACCTTAGTGAAGGAAACATCAAGTGTAAACTTATTAAGTCAACTTTCAAATGCTTTAGGTACTTGAGAATTAGGATGTTCACTTCCGGATATTCCTTGATGTACACACGATTTAAACTTTTGAGTTTTCCTCCTGTTATCTTTAGCACTTTAGTTGGATTGCTAGATTTAAGATAATGTGAAACCACAGTTCGCAAAAAGTCTGAAATATTTTCTCCGGGAAAGCCTTCAAGATGCAATTTTTCAATCTTTGGAAGGAAACTAATATAAGGAACACTATACCTCACGTCAAACACACTCCATGATATTTTGAGATGTTTAAGTTCTAACAACTCTTCCAAGCTTTCAAATTCCCCATCATAGATCACAGCTCCTCTTTTTATATATATGCTGAGTCGCACTAGTTTCTTCAAATTTGCAAGATCTGATATTTTATAGGGACTCATGCTAGAACTACCTTTTACAAAGCCCTTGAGTACTTTAAGATTAGTTAGCTTTTCAATCCCCTTTGACATTCTCTCCAACAAGGGGCACTCAAACAAGTCCAAATGTTTGAGATTTCTCAATGATGAAATATCATTAGGTAGTGTTTCTAGATTGTGACATGCCTTGAGATCTAGAGTTTCTAGGCTCTCAAGTTGAAAAATGGAGGGTGGCAACTTTGATATTCCTGATATCCCACGAAAGCTAATATACCTCAAATACTTTTGACCCTTCAATTGTTTCAGAAACTTTTCACTCATAACTTCGTTATAATGTGAAGCAGAGTCTTGCAACCAACGACCTAGTTGAAGCACCTCCAAATGCTTCATTTTTGTTATCCATTGGGGTTCAAAATTAAGATAACTAGCACTCACATTGAAAACAACTCTCCAATGGTTAGACTTAAAATCAAATCCGTCACTTAGTTTCAACAGCATGAGGCTGAGGATGTGGACGATGGAGCTGAGGCTTTTATGTGGGATTTTGCTCTGATAGGACATGTGACATCGGGACATAGATAGAATTAGAATATGACATTGTTTATGATTTATTAAAGTATATATTTTGGAAAATTCAATTTTTATTCTTTGTAATTTTATTTGCTATTTGGATTAAATATAAATAAAGATGTACAAAAACATGACTATCATTGACCAAACATTTTAGGTAGATTTTCCTTTTCTTAAACCTAGCATTGCATCATAAGTCATCACTCAAGTTCACATAATGGAAGTGACTTTAGTTCACCGCCAAATCTTTCAAAAAATCATGGTTGAACTAAAGAAACTTTAACTATGGAGAAAAGAGAAAAGTTTAGCCAAAAAAAAAAAAGAGAGGAAAGAATAGAAAAAGAGGCCATAATAGCCAAATTAGAGGAAGAAATTTGTCTAATAAGAGAAAAAAAAATTGATAAAAAAATACAAAAGTAGACATGGTAGTTGTTCTTCAAGTAGATCCACTAAGAGCCTAAGCTATCAAGGTGATAATCTTGACATTAATGAATACTACCAACCCATTCCTAAGAAACATAGGCATAAGAAAGAAAAAGAGCTAAGGTGAGGGAATCTAGAGTGGAATTTTCATACTTTCATTAGAAAAGATGACGTAGAAGTCTACTTAGATTGAAACATGAAAGTGTAATAACTTTTCACGCCACCAAGTGAATGAAGAGAAATAAGTTCACTTAGCTATCCTAAACTTTCAAGGGTATTTCATGTATTGATAGACTTCTTTAGAAAGAAAAAGAAGACTCCATGAAGATCCTCCAATTCAATATTGGAATGACTTGAAGAGAAGACACATCCTAACTATTTTTAGTTAATTTCTGAACTTTTGATTAGTATGTTCTAGGGTAATTCTGGTTGTTTGACTCTGACTATTTTATATAGGGACATATTTGACTTTTGGTTCTGAATGGTGTTTGTTTATCTCATTCTATATTTTTATATATTGTCTAATTCCTTTTGATGTTGCCAAAGGGGGAGAGGAAAGGAAAGAAGAAAAAGGATAATTTATTTCTGATCAAAATTGGATATTTTGATTTGAACAAATTAACATGGTCACTACAACTGTCTATTTCTGATCAAATTTTTTATAATAAAATTAACATCAAACAATCATTTATTAAGGGGGAGACTAAGGGGGAGTGATCGATATACAAAGGACTTCAATGATTTGATCCAACTTTGTATCAAGGTCTAGCAACAACTTTCACTACTAAAAAAATTAAAATTTGTGACGGATAAAATGTCGTCACTAATAGTGACGACTTTTGTGACGAAAATTTTATTTTTGTGACGGACTACTTATTTTTAGAGTTTGTGACGGAAAATTTTCCGTCTCTAACAATTCCGTCACAAACGGGGTCACTAATAAAAAAAAATTTGCGACGGATTTAGCGGATTTTGATTCCTCTCTAAATATTTCGTCACAAATTCCGTCACAATCTGTGAGGGATTATGTATCCCTCTCAAAATAGAAAATTTTATTGTACAATTATTATATTTAAGAATTATGTATAAATAAAAAATATTTTGCTAAAAAAATAATTAAAAAATTATGAAACTAAAATATTTTTTTCATCAAAAGATTAAAAATTAAAACATAAGAAATGAATTAATTTAAATAATAAGTTGTCATTTTGAAGTATAAGAAATTAAAATATGAATTAGGAAAAAACTTTTAATTTAAAAATTGTCGTCACTAATAGTGACGACTTTTGTGACGAAAATTTTATTTTTGTGACGGACTACTTATTTTTAGAGTTTGTGACGGAAAATTTTCCGTCTCTAACAATTCCGTCACAAACGGGGTCACTAATAAAAAAAAATTTGCGACGGATTTAGCGGATTTTGATTCCTCTCTAAATATTTCGTCACAAATTCCGTCACAATCTGTGAGGGATTATGTATCCCTCTCAAAATAGAAAATTTTATTGTACAATTATTATATTTAAGAATTATGTATAAATAAAAAATATTTTGCTAAAAAAATAATTAAAAAATTATGAAACTAAAATATTTTTTTCATCAAAAGATTAAAAATTAAAACATAAGAAATGAATTAATTTAAATAATAAGTTGTCATTTTGAAGTATAAGAAATTAAAATATGAATTAGGAAAAAACTTTTAATTTAAAAATACTTATGAAATTATAAAAAGACAATATTA